GTGATCAGTTTTAAACAAATTAATCATACAATATTTACGTATTTATTCATTTCCAACAAGGAGGATTCTTTTACATCACCTACCCAGAGGACCAGCAGCAGACAGCCAGTTCCAGAGTGGGGTTGCTGGCTCAGGGAAGGTGTCTCTCCCAGGGCTCAGCTTCCTCTGCGCGGGGCCCTAGGGAGAGGCCAAGCCCCACTCGTGCCTGCCTCCCAGCCCTTAAACAGCTTTTTTGATGTACAGTTGGCACCTAATAAATCGCAAATACTTAAAGCGAATGGTTGACAAGTGTGCACACGCACACACCACACAGCCGTCACCTTCCACCCCAGTGAACATTTTCATCACTCTGAAAGTTCCCTGGTGCTCTGTGCCTCCCTTCTTTATCACTTTGTGGTATCTTTGATGATATCAGGAAAAAAATTCCATTGTCGAGGATAAAGTACTAGGTGGCAGGTTATTTAATTTGTAGTGTCAGCTTTTGTTTTCTTTCTGAGGGCTGGAGTGGAAACAATGTGATGATTGTAGGTGTACATCACCGGATCATTTACAGAGTGTGTGAGAAACAAATAGGGCAGACTGTTTGAAAAGCTCAACACAGGAAGTCTCTTTTCAGAAAGGTCCACAAATAGGGTGGCTCCTCATGGGGCAGGGGAAGAGGAAGGAGGGAGTGTACCAGGGGTAGGAGCCACAAACTTGAAAAGATCAAATGCTTTTGTCTTGGCTGTTCTGTATGTGGTATTTCTCACATCAGTTCTAACCTGGAAGGAAAATAGCTATTTAATCCTCCCTTAACTCAGGGATGGACTTTGCTCAAGTGCATTTATTCTAGGCAATTGTCTGTTCTATTGGATGACATGTTGACGATTTGCTTACTGATTGATATTTATAATTTATAGATTAATTTTTTTGTTCCATCCCTGGGTAGAGAATTTTTGAGTTTATTTGAGCCCAACTGACGACAGTTGCTGGGATGCAAAACCTCATTGGATTGAGGAAATGCTCCAGAGAGCGGCAGTTTGCACCTTATTTTTTACATTGGAAAAGTGTCCGCAACCTTTTTGGCACCAGGGACCAATTTGCTCACTCACCTGCTGCTCACCTCCTGCTGTGCGTCCTGGTTCCTTACAGGCCATGAGCCCAGTGCCAGTCTGATGCCCAGGGGTCGGGGACCCCTGCATTAGAACCAAAGGAGAAGATGCAGGGGGGTTGTGTGAAATCCACTGGTGATCATTAGGGAGGTGGGACAGAGCAAAGGGGGGCTATCTCTGGGATTGGGTAAAAAGTTAAATGAATAGACACGTACTGTATTTTACATTGATGAGTACAGGATAGTTAACAGTTAACCGTGAACATAGTGAGGTGTTTTGTGGGCCTTGCTCACAAAGGCAAAGAAGTTACCTTGACATTCTGAAGGCATGTTATCACAGATACCAAAAAATAGCAGACAGGTTTGTTAAGTAAAGATTGACGTTTGTCAAGGAATCTACTGTCCTCTGGCATGACTACCTGCCATGACTTGATTTTAATTAGGAATTAAAAAAAAATAATTTCCTGATTTTTAGAGCAAGAGAGAAAGAGAGGAAGGAGGGATGGGGAGGAGAGAGAGAGAAACATCGATTTTCTGTTCTACTTACTTATGCATCCATTGGTTGCTTCTTGCGTGTGCCCTGCCCCGAGCTGCCATGGTTTCGAGTTAGGACGTTTTCATTTCAGACCATCTGTGTGGTTACTTCTGGTCTCTGCGTTTGTGAGGCCATGATGCAGGCTGCCCCTGAGCTTGTCTGGTTTGGTGTGTGGCCCCTTTTTCCGTCCAAGCCTGTACTAAGTTTTTGGCTGGACATTTCTCTCTGAATACATCAGCTGATGTTAGTTTCTGCTGCAGAAAGCATTGTGTTGTTGAGTTAGTAGCCATTCTGTAAAGAATTGGTAAAATATATACAGTGATTGGCATGGGTTCCTTCAGCTGTCTTCTAGCTTCTCTGGCTTTCTCAATCTTCTAGGCTCTTTGTGTTCATTTCTTTCTAGTTCTTTCAAAACAAAACTAGGGAGTTTTGTTTTGAAATGGATATGCTTGTGGTGAAAATGGCAGCACTTCTGTTGTGATAGAACCCTGTTAGAAATGGTGTTCCTCGTTCTGTGTCTGTTTAGTTGGGAAGTGAACCAATTAATTCTCTGTGCTTATAAGTGCTGGTTGGTCCTTGGCACCAAAAATAATTTAACACAGAGAAGTGGAGTGTGTTGGAAAACATTTATGCAAAAGTTGCCCTGACATTGAGAGCTTCATATGGGTGAGAATTTCCCTAGAAATGTATTTTTTTGACTCTTGGCTGAACTCTGATGACTTTTGAGGGTCTGGTGAAAGTGACACTTGGGGTATTCCTCACTTCAGGGACGCCGGCGTGGTGTCCAGTTTCCTGGTTAGACCGTGGCAAGCTCGTGTGCTTGTAATGCACATGAACGTTGAGGGGTTAGTAGGGTTCTGGGTGCCTGCCGTGTAATTCAGTGTCTGGCCATCGTTTCGGAAGGGGACTCTCGTGCAGTGGACTGCCCTTCTCTTTCCCTTGATGTAAAAACGCCGGTGCTACCTGGTAGGGACTTGGTTCAGGTTGAAGAAACCCCAGTAGTCTCCGCGTGCACAGTGTTCATCAGGTCAGCCGTCCGTAGTCCATACCTGGCCCTGGTGGAGCAAAGGGGCTCTGGAGGGGGAAGACGGGCCATAGTGGCCCTCGAGGCACTCTGGCTGGGGCCCAGGAGAACGTTTTGTGTCCAAGTTTTTTGGAAAAAAATACAAAGCTCCTTAGGCCCCACAGCTTCCGGAGTCTGGAGCAGAAATGTCCCTTGAACAGATTTGGGGTGAAGCAGACAGTTGTCATGTTGTGTCTGTGGAGAATGTGTGCGCACCCCAGATGCCTGCCTCAGAGAGGCGGCTCTGGCTGTGGTTCCTGGTCGCAGCTGAGTCAGGTGCTCCCAGGGGCTCTCGGGCCTCCAGGCCTCTCTGCTGCTGGGGACACGGTAAATCCTAGAAGCCTAACTTCCCTCCACCCCAGAGTAAACTCAGCTGGAAAACGCCACTGAAATCCTTCCCAGAGGTTTTTAAATCACCTAAAATTTGGGCTAACATACTTTTGTGAGTTGGGATTTTAGAAATGATTTAGAAGATTTTTGAAAATCTTGTGTGAGTACTCTAGATTCTTGTTTTCAAGAAAAAAAATAGTTAATAAATTCATGTGTCTTAGTAATAAAGGGCTACATAGAGATACTTGATCTGAATACATAGACTTTTTTCTCATTCTTAATAGGAAATTTTTTAGTAAAACAAAACTTGACTAATGTTTTACCGCTGGCTTCTTGCCTTTCCTTACGAAGATGCTGAAGTGGTCCGAATAACAATGCTGCTAAAACAGCATGTGCCTCGTTCTGATGGGGTATTGATTCCTGCTATAGTGTGCGGAATTGCCTGCATGCCTCCCAGCAACAAATACGTATGTGACAGGCTTTATGGGAGATGAGCATTCCGGAGTAATGAAATGCTGGTTTACTTTTCAGTAGCTATGGAACTTTAAAAAAATCATGTTTTTAGACACAAGGCCTCAAGGCACCAACACACTTGTATCTAGTGCAGGAAACTCTGCAGGTTATTTTTAACAAAACCTAATCAGGGTAAACAGAAACCTGATGTTTATGGGGTTTGTTGACAGGCAAGATCTTGGAGATATTGTGGGCTGGGGTCTGACGTCTCAGGGAAGTGAGTGGTAATGCAATCTTTTGCTGGCAGAGGGTCTTTGTAAAAAAAAGAAAAAGCAGCATCTGAAATGCAAATAAAGAAAAGCACAGTAAAACGAAGTTTGCCTGAATTTATCGATTGCTCTAGGCCACCAGAAAGGATAGATACACTTACTGTTCCTTTTAATAAAATCATTCTGGGCAGTTGTCAGTATTGAAATCTCTAGGTATTTTTGGAATTGCATAGGTATTGTGGGATGAAACGGAACTAGGAAGCTGGAAGGAGAGATGGAACTTCTAAAGTGCGTTTCCGCTAGTTGTGATCCCCTTTACTCTCAAAACGGGGAGCCCTTGTCAACACTGCCTGCTAGGGATTAGGGTGCTGGGATCAGGGAAGGTAGGCGACTAAAGATTATGTCATCATGGTGGCATCCATCCTATTCGCTAGCAAAGTGGGCATGGGAATTAATGTAACTATTAATCGTTATGCTTGCTGTTGCCACAGAGCTGTGTTTGGCATGACTTAGGTGGTTGCTATATGTTGCAAAGCATAATCTTTTTTAGTTTGCTAATGGGAAAGATAAGTAAGTAATAGCATTTGTTGAAGAAATTGAAGCCTAACCTGTCAGATGCTTTTTTTCCCCATATAAGATAGTCCTGGTGTCAAGTTTCTGTTAGTTCCATGTAATTCCAGTAGAACTAGCAAGTGATTTTGCTTAAAATGTGTTCTTGTCCCTGTTCTGTGAGAGTTGATGTGAGAACAGATCTTAATAGATATAGTTACACAGTTTATTTTATCATGTATCACTTTATTGCTGTCTTCTAGAACATTGTTATACTAAATGTTCCAATAATGGAAATTTTATGCAGCTACTTCAAATGAAACAAATTTGCAAAACTCAATTTTGGAACTCATTCCTTGAGCAGAGGAACAAAAACTCACCATGCCGTGACCAGATTCGCTGTCTGGCATGTTGGCGACTTGTCAAGCACTGTTCTTTCCAGAAGTCAGGGTGTGGGGGCCGGTGGAAGTGGCAGTGCTTCTCAATTCACAACTGGGGTGTTTCGCATTTTAATATGATTGAATCGTTAATTTTGCACAAAAATTTTGTTGGTAACAGGTAATTAAAATTTGGTTTGGTACCTAAATAAAATGGCTCTACGTGAGATCAGGGATGACTGTGTTCAATTACCAGGGAGTCTTCTTTTCAAGAACTGCGTTTTAATTTCTCAGAGATGTCAGTTTTATTTACTGGAGCTCCTTTGTTTTGCAGAGATCATGATGCAGCCGCCCTTTTGGATTTCTTTTTAATAATGTGTGACCCTTCACCTTTGATCCCCTGACCTGCATTACCTTGGTAACCATTTCATTTTTTAATTTAATTTCATTTTTTAATTTTGGTGTGCAAGCTGTAACATTTCATCTCTCAAAGTGTAACGCGCTGATTTCCTCAAATAGAGATATCCCTTTGAGCGATAAATTTGCAAAATGCTGTCTTCATTTTCTGTATTAAAATTCATTTCAGTTTTAAAAATAAAATGTAATCTGTGTTTTCATCCTTTTAAAATTTTAGTTTAATGAGTACATTTCCCCATACAGTATATCTGTTTCTATTCATATTTTGCAATAGCTAAATTAACTTGTGGTTCACACAGATCTCTTTCTCACCCCCTTCTTCCTTCTTTCTCTCTCTCTCTCCCCTTCCCCTCACCCCCTCTCCCTCCCTCTCCATCTCTGTCTCCCTCTCCCCCCCACAAATACCCCCCCACCACATACATGGCACCACAACCCCTTTCCTCCCACATGTACACCCTCATTATTGCCACACCCTCCACCTTTTTGCAGATTAACTCCTGTTTCTTTTTAGAAATCATAACAACTTGAGTTTATTACTCTTAGCTGCTACATTCTACAACCTTAGATTATATTTTGTATTCACAAGTATTGTTGGGAGAAAAGGTTTAGCCCTTTAATTCCATGTATATGTATGGGCTAGAAGATAAGAAAGTTGTCTCATTTCTAAAATTCACCTTTCTCCTTTAATATTTTATTTATTTGAGGCATAAGTTAAGAATAAGCAACATTTTACTAACATGATAAAAAATGTCCTTTTGTAACTCTGCTGAAGTCTGGTCAGCTGTGATGGTTCGTGTACCAGATTGCTTTATGCCATATGCTGTTTTAGGACTGTTCTTCAGATGATGCATTTTTTTATTGTAGTCTTCTTTTTAGAAAATTCTTACTCCAAAGCAATCAACCCAAATCTAAAAACGAAAGTCAGTCTTGAGTTTATTCTTTGAACTGGAAAGATATTCCCAAGAAATTATGTTCTTAAAAAAATCATGTGAGCTCTCTCAGCACGGCCCACTGAAGCACAGATTATTTTTTAAGTGTCTCATTATTTTATTGTCTAACATTTAATGCTGATGCTGTAATTGCACACAGCTGAAGCTGCTAAATGAGCACTGAAATGGATGTAAGTCCTTTCTGAGCTTTGTTGATACCTATAAAAGTTTATGTCATTCATTAGAATCACAGATTAAAATTAGTTGTAGTGAGCTGTTCGTTGGTGATGGGAACGCTTACGAACTCTTCTTCAGGCTTTACCAGCTCGTTTTTGTCTGCACTCCTTATGGAGCACAGAAACTCCTTGTTTTTGTCTGTGTAGCTGGGAAACTGCCTTTGGCCTGTCGGGTGTCTTTCCACAGAGTCACAAAGCATCAGCTGCGAAATGCAAATGGGTAAAACATGTTATGATCGTAAAGTCAGAAAGTGCGTGGAGTAAATGTCCCAATAGTTGGGAGCAACTAATTTATCCAAGCTTGCATTTTAAGGTGATTTTTAATGAAAACACTTTCAGTGCTGCGTAGGAATGTTCTCCCTGTCCCATCTTTTATTCGTGCCTCTCGTGGCATGTCCTCCCCCACCCCACCCCCAGGTGCCACGTAGCCTGGGCTGCCTGTTCACAGACTCACGGGCTGGGCGGGCTGGGCAGGCTGGGCGGGCTGGGCGGGTGGCTCCACTCCTCTTGCTCAGGCAGCCCTGAACTTGCCAGAGCCCAAGGGCGAGCCGTCTGGTGGTCCCCAGAGAGTCACAGCTCCCTGTTGGCAGAAGAGGGCCTCGTCCATGTCCCCTGGGCTCCCATGGCATCTAGAGAGAGTCTTATACTTTTACTCAGAAGTCCAGTGGGAGCGGAAGAGACAATAGGTGCAGAGAAAAAGTTTTGTTTTTAATTGTGATGCTTTATTTTGCTTTTAGGTCAATTAGATTTTCTTTAATGTTTTCTGCTTAATACATTTTAAGATAGTTCTTCTAAGACAGTTTGTGTGTGGATGCATTACTTACTATCAGTGATCATTGCCAATGTGATTAGTACTTAGGAATTTTAGTAGGTTTTGGCCACATGTAGTTTTTATAACCAGGATTCAATGAGAAGACCTTAGTGTAAGAACCAAGGGACCTGCTCATTACTAGCAGGGTTTCTGGACAGCCATTGATGTCTTCTAAGTAAGTCACATAAAACTAAAAAACCCAAATTGAAAGACTTCCATGTTGGTATTTGAAACAGTGAATTAGTTGTTTGGCCTCCCCTGCAGGATTCGTGAACCCTTTCGTTGGTTCTGCTTTACTTGTACCAGTGTGAAGTGCAGATATTGTGTGTCTCCGACTTGCTTTCTAGAGTCGTTGGCAGGATAAATAAGACCCTGGTGACGGAGACACGGGGGACTTAGAGGATGTACCTTTGAATTAAAACTGCATCCTGTGGCCAGGTCGGCAGCAGGCCCATTCATCATGCTGAGGGGCAGGGCAGCCAACCCTGTGGGGAAAGGCCGCCTTGGGCCGAATCCCACCTCAGCCCCTTGCAGAGGTTTGACTCAGACAGATTCCCTAACCTCTCTGTGCCTCAGTTTCCTCCTGTTTCAAATGTCTTGCTTCCAGGGCCATGCTGTGTGCTAGGTACTCAGAGCAGGACGGCGTGCAGCGTGGCTGTGGCTGTGGCTGTGGCTGTGGGGTCCCGGCTGGGTCCCGGCTGGGCCCCGTCACCAGCAGAGGCCCAGGCAGGAGGGCGTTCAGTGAACTGGAGTTCTGGGCGGGCACACACGCCTCACACAGAATTAAACTCACAAGACTTTTCCTTTCGTCTTCCTCCATCGCCTCGGAGCCTGGTGTGTGCTTCTAGAGCGAGGAGCTGGTGCCGGAGTTAAATCTGGGCTCCCAACCTTTTGGGAAGAAAAGTTTAGGTGATTAAGAGCTACTTAACCCTTGCTGATATGTGCTTTTGTCTTGGCTGTTTTTGGCTGTGGAGACGCAAGAAAAGAGGCTCCTGGGGGAGACCCAGAGTCAGCACTTACGCTGTCCCTTTTGGCCGATGTAAGCTGACTAGCTTTCAGGGGGGCAGAGTGCATTGAACTGATTAGAGACTTCTGCCCACAGGCCTCAGCGCTTCCCCCACTAGATGGGTGGGAAGGACGTCTGCTGTCCCATGTCCTTCCCGGGGTTTCCATGCGTTCTGGTCACCTGAGTCTGGGAGGGAGGTGGTGTGTGACCTCCATCTGCGCCCGAGAACACTGATGTTCAGGTCCAGCCGGTCAGCCCTCGCAGGTCACACTCCTCGTCAGGCACAGACCTGGGCCCCAGACCAGGCGCTGCCCTTGCTCTGACACCTGCTGCCTGACACTTCCTGGCAAACCCCGTTGCACCCCTGACAAGAAAACAATTCTGCCATCTGGTTACAGGGACCTCAGCTGTGCTCCCTACCACCCTCACTGCCAGCGCCCTGACTCAGTAAGGCCTCTAGCACCCACCGCCACCACCACGCCCTCTAGGAAGGCCCTGCCGTTCATCTGGTACTTGTAGGGACTTCAGTTGTGGCTGCACGTCCAGGTCACTTGTATGGCTTTAGAATGCGGAGCGCCAGCCCCATCCCAGACTCTTCTGAGGCTGCTCAGCAGGGAACCACTGGCCAATTGGTACAGAAGTACAGGAAGTGTACATTGTAAACAAGAGAAAAAGTGAATAATTTGTGTACATGTAGACCTGTGCTTCCAGAACCTGGGCCAGTGCTAATTAATTCTATTACAGGTAACTGCATTGTAACCTGAAGTGGGCCCTTGTGGGCCCGTTTAGTAATTCAGCTGCCCATAGTCAGTACCCTTCCTATGGGGAAAGTCCCAGCCATCTTCCCTGTAGAATGAATATAGTCTCCTGCAAATGGGTGTTTGACCCACACAAAAACCAGGCTGGAAACGAGCCCAGGGCCAAGTGAAGTCAAGGACCACACTTCTCCCTCCTTCACACTTTTACCTTTCTTTTTCCTCCCCCTTGTTAATGAGGTTGCTTTCTCATTTCCTTCCTCTTCCTTGCTTTTCTCATTTTCTGTCTAGCAGATGCTGGTGGGCGCGTATCTGTCATCAGACAGGAAAGTAAATCCTCTAAGGGCCTGGCATATAACAGGTGTTCAGAGGAGCAGTTCTTGATTTGTCTCAGAACTTACCTTCCAAAGGAGTAGGTACTACCCCTCATTAGCCTAAAAATGGTTAGATATGTTTGTGGCTGGCTGTCCTAATCCAGTGGTTTATCGTGGAAGTTGAGGTCTTTCAGCCTCAGCGAGTTAGTTCGAGGACTGCCAGGCAGCAGTCCCCGACAGGACAGAGGGCCAGCAATAGGCCGACGGGACTGTTCTAGGGGCACGTATCTCAGGCTTCCAGAGCCCCTGTGGCACAGTCCACAGAGCTGGGAGGTCTGGGGTCCTGGGCTGGCGCCCTCGTTTTGGTGGTGAAGAACCTGCTCCTGAGGGGCTGCTCAGGCACTGCCTCCTCCATCACATAACCTGGGGGGAGCAGCGTGCAGGCTGTGACACCCCAGTGCCTTGAGAGGGACGGAGCAGTGGTCAGAGTCACCATCCCTCCTGCCCCCTCTCACAGACAAGTTTCCAAGGGCAAGTGGATGCGGCCCCGGGCAGCCGCGAGCCGTGTAGCCCCCACCCAGCAGGTAGGGTCAGTGTGGAGCAGGCACCTGCGAGTCGGTTGCGGTGAGGAGAGCGAGGGCGATCGCATGGGAGGAGGACGCAGGGACGGTTCTGTTCTTCGTCAGTGAAAGCCTGCCCTTCCAGAAAGTGGGAGGGGGCAGCGGCAGCAGGATCGCTGCCCGCTGTGCCCCTGCGAGACGGCACTGGTGGTCCCTGTGCTGCTGTGCCGCACGCCTCAGACTTCCACACCTACCTTTTCTAATTTTTTTTTTTTTACTTCTTACCTGAGGGCATTTTTTCATTGCTTTTAGTGAGAGGGGAAGGGAGAGAGAAACATTGATGCAACAGAGAAGCATCAATTGGTTTCCTCCAATACATGCCCTGACTGGGAATTGAACCCTCAACCTTCTGGTCGTGGGACGATGCTCCAGCCAACTGAGCCACACCGGCCAGGGCCCACACCCATTTTTAGGTGGGTTCAGAAACAGACCACATGCTAGCTAGTCAAGCAGCACACCTGCTTGCCCCGAACTGTGATGTTCAGGCTTTGATCATCCAGCCCTTTCTCACTCCCCTGCGCTGATCCTC